GAAATCATTTGGTACTTGTCTTTCTCTGTCTGGCTTATTTCACTAAGCAAAATACCCTCTAGCTCCATCCATGTTGTTGCAAATGGTAGGATTTGTTTTCTTCTTATGGCTGAATAATATTCCATTGTGTATATGTACCACATCTTCTTTATCCATTCATCTACTGATGGACACTTAGGTTGCTTCCAATTATTGGCTATTGTAAATAGTGCTGTGATAAACATAGGGGTGCATATGTCTTTTTCAAACTGGGTTGCTGCATTCTTAGGGTAAATTCCTAGGAGTGGAATTCCTGGGTCAAATGGTATTTCTATTTTGAGTTTTTTGAAGAACTTCTATACTGCTTTCCACAATGGTTGAACTAATTTACATTCCCACCAGCAGTGTAGGAGGGTTCCCCTACTGGTGGGTTTTTAAAGAGGTATCTCAGTAATATGCCAAAAAAGCTGATCTTCCCCCACCTTGGCTTAAAAATAAAAGTCAATTGGTCATTATCCTCCATTTTAATATGAGCAAGACCCTGTACTTCAGTCTTTCTGCCACCAAATTGCTCCTCCACATTACATCGGGTGCATCTTGCTACCGGGATGCCAAACCCACTAGGGCTGCAATGGAACAGGAAATAAGGTCTATAGAGATGTCTTTGTCACCTCAGACCTGAATTTAACCAATGCACAGTGCCACTTCCAATTAATTTAAAAAGGATTTCAGGAGATTATTTCTCAATGCCTAAGCTGTTGAAGGCCAGAGAATCTGACAGACAGAACTATCTCTGCAAGATCAAGAGACTCTCTGTTCCGGGTGTTCTAATAAGGTATTATCAGAAGTGGAAGCAACGTTGGCTCTGCTGACAAACGGTAACCAGAATAAAAAACTGGAGCTTGCTTCCTGGGGGTTGAAGCTGGTACAGACGTTCAGAAGCAATGAAATTAGATTAGGCAAGGATGCAGAAGGGAAATGTTTTGGCTTCTTTACAGACTTCCTGCAGATCATGAAAAAGTGGCTATCATTCAACAATTTGCCAGGACTTAGATTTATTTTTAATCTTTGACCAAACCTATAAGAAATATACAGCAAAAAAATCTATTTTCTTCTTAGATATCTTAGAAATTAAAAACTTCTAACCTTTTCCATAGTTTTATTTAAAGATGGGGTTCAAGCATTGACTTACAACGTTGCTTCATTTGAACAGTGAGAGAATTAATATACTTAATATGAGATACACCAGAATGTTGGTAAAAGTAAAACTAGCAAAAAAGTCAAAGGAAAGAGATCTGACTATAATTTGTAAAAGCTCTTAAGGCTGGTCATAAGGTAATTAAGAAATGAGTCTACATATTAACATAAAAAGTATACCTAGCAGTAGCTACAAAAAAAGAGTTGAGAAAATAAATTTTATTATAGTGCATCCACTATTGCCCTAGAGAAAATGTATAATCGTACTTACTGAAAGGCTATTTCTTATATTAGGGAAATTAAATGCCAATTTTAGAGAAATATTTAAAATGTATGTTTTATTTACATGTTTTACCTTTTGTTTTTTTAAAGAAAAGGAGGCCTGGGCTCCTGAGAAAGAAGCAATCTACATAAGCAGATGAGGAGCCAAGCCTAGTGCTGGAGAGTTTGCAAGACTCCAATCGCAGATTATTTCCATAAATGCCTGTATGGCAGTAGGACTTAAGAGAGTTGCACAGGAAAAAAGAGATTATTTTCCATCTATCAGATTGGCAAAAATTTCAGAGTAATAGAAGCCACTAAGGGCAAGGGTGCTAGGAAACTTGCATATATTATTTATAACTTCTAAATTGTATGAACTTCCCCTTTAGCGACAGACTTTTAAATTACATTTTAAAAATACCTTTTGATTCAACAATAACATCTTCTGTCTTTAGGACAAATTTCTTGACCAAGAAAAGCACAAGAAGATGTATGCCTACAGAGGTTCATTATGGTGTTTAATAGTGAAAAATTACAATCTAAAAGCTATTGGCAGGAGACTGATTAAATAAATTACAATGCACAATAGAGTACCAAGTAGCCATTAAAAGTGATAGAGATTTATATACTCTGCTATGCAGAGTTTCTATGACTATTCAGTGAAATAAGGTTCCAGAGTAGTACAGTGAAACATTTATATACCATGACATGAATATGCTTATTCAAGAAGGTCTGAAAGAATGTTTCTATTATAGTGATTACAACTCAGTGAGATTTCTGGTGATTTTGTTTCCTTTTCTGTACTTTTCTATATGATTCTTCTTAAAACAACTGAGTACATATTTTTATTTAAAAAAAGCTATCTTTGTTTAAAAAAAGATAGGTCCTATATGTATTTTTCTTTAAAAATAAGCACCAATATATGTAAATAAAAACAAATACTTCTTATCCTATGGTAAAAAATAAACAAAGCAAAAAACCCCATTTGTAAATTTTGAAATTTAAATCTCTAGACAATTTAAAGTATTTCACAATTAACTAAGAATATTTTCATTCATGGTTGTATTACCATTGAGTTTTTAGCTCCTCTGAGAGCAACTATTGTAATTGTCTGTAAATTCTAACCATACCAAATACCATGAATATATTGAATACAAGCCACAGTAAACGTTAGCAATCAGTGATTCTGACCAGTACTTTGAAATAACTTCACCTCAAACAAATGCTGAACAGGGATTCACAGGCCTAAGAAGCTATAAAGCGCCTAATCGTATCAATCAGGAGTTATTTACACATTTAACATTTTCCTTCTAAGGGAAGAGAAAAAGATAAGTTTCCCACCAGCAGTGTAGGAGGGTTTCCCTATTGGTGGGTTTTTAAAGAGGTATCTTAAAAAAAAGGGAAGAGAAAAAGATAAGATCGTCTAACCATAAATATGCTCAATCTTTTCAGAAATCCTTTAAGTTTCAATACCTAGTACAAATAATAAAAGGAAAGAAAGTTAAGTCACATGTGTATGCTTGAGTAACAAGTAAATAACTGCAGGTAGCATGGTTTTTTCTTTGATAACTGGGGAACTACCAGTGGGTATCACTAGAGATCCTTATTTACTCACTGAAGAGCATTTAGTTCAACTAATTTCTGAACTTAAAATGTCTGCCCTAATAAAACAACCTAATCATACAGGCCCTGTTCTGCACTCACCTGGCCTGAATGTGTCAGTCCCCCAGGATCATGGGCACAGCTGCATTAGGGAACCATAAACCCAGTGTAAATGTTCAGTCTTTTTATAATTAAGTTACTGTGATAAAATTAACTTTGCCTCGGCCATAAACAGATGATAAAATACCATAATTCAGAGTAACTGATAAAGCCATCCTGAGCAATCAGATCTTGCTTGTTGGCCCATGGGCTGGTCAGCAGGGCAGAGCTGGTGAGACAGGCCAGGCTAAACCACTCCTGACTTCTTCCTGGGTCAGGGAGGGTCACAGCTTAAATCCTGGGTTCACCTGTTGAGGTCTGTTGACAAGATAGCTTCCACTAGCTCTCCTTTCCTGGAACTTCTGATTAAATGACATACCATTGTATAACATACAAATTTATATTTTTATCTTATGTATACACATGTTCTATGTGAATTAAAATTCCATAGTAATTATGAGTAAACAAAGAATAAAACCAAAACATTTCTAAGAAACTGAAGAGCTTGGCTTTATGCATTTTCAACATGTTCTCCTTTAGGCCAGCAGATGTAGCTGTGATTAAAGTAGGGAATGTAAGCTGCTCTTAGTCAGCCATTAGATGGCACCCTTTTTTTGAACAGGGTTTATACTGGAGCATCAATACCATTCAACATAGCTACCAATAATTATTTGACACTAGAACTGATTTTGATTTACTTGCATTTATCTAGGATGATAATCTCAATTATTATTGAGTGCACAGACCTGGACTATTTCTGTTCAACATCTTCTGATTAAGACTGTTTTCCTTAGTCATAGAAAGATAAGTGCCCCAAAGAGGCAATAAATAGTAATAAAAGTTCATCACTGATAAACCTCACAGTTATCATCCAAACTTTCTAAATGCAGGAACTTTTTATATGCAAAGCTGAAACAGGCCTCAGAGCAGGGTCATGTAATATGAATTTTCTTAGGAAGCATTAAATCCCTAAGTCCTCCATAATAACAGTGTACTGGGGAGCCATGTCTTAGCACAGTTCGAGATTCAGGGTAGGCCCTTAAGGAAAAACTCTGAAATGTCCTAAATTAAGTGACATAAGGGCTGGAGAATGAGAGAGAAAGACAAGGGAAGGTCATCAGTCAATAACCTCGGACCAAAGCTAACCAGAAACTCCACTTTCCCAGACAAAGTCATTTCAACAATCATCTAGAAGATCCCCAGGACCATGGCATCCCCCAGTGATGACCAGTGTCTGACCATCATCAACAGTCAATCCACAAGCCTTCTCTAAGGACTAACTACCCATCCCAGGACTGTCCCTGCTTTGTACTACTCCACCTTCCCTGTTTGTAGCCAATGTGAATTTTAAAAACTTTCTTTCCTTGAGACCCCTCAAAAATGCCTGTTCCATGAGCCTGACAGACAAATTGTTTCTGTTAACTGGCCTTGCTGCTGCTGAAGCAGAAACTTCCTGTCCCAGGACTTAGTCCTTTATCTGGCTAATGTCAAGGAATCCTTGTATTGCAGAGATCTCTCTGTCTTTATAGTTTTTGATTTGTCACCCACAAATGTCTTTTGAATGAACAAATTAATAAACACTGCTGCTTTTAAAAGATGGGTCCTTGAAAAACTATCAGTGGTTTCTGAGAATTCTCAGGCATGGAGATCACTTGATATGCCTAATGACCTGTTGGTAGGAAGAGAATGTATTTGCATTTTCTCTTTTTAGTTAAAAACTTGAAGGTAAAGTATAAAAGGATTCCAAGTGTTCTTATATTTAACAGTGCCAACAGAAAATAATTTTTCTCCCCCAAACATTTTATTTAGACAATCATCCTCTTATCAGTGCCATAAAACAAAGTTCACATTCTAGAACCTAAAATAGATGGTCTAGTACATGAAGGCCAAGTTCTTTAAGTGTATAATTTAATTTAAATAACAATTTTGTTGGTCTATGCAAATTTTGGTTGATTCATTCTGACTCTTTTAAATCAAAGACAATTCATATTTTCAAATAACTTCAAAACTTCACTACTCACTTTATGACCTACATTACTAAACTCCAGAAATCCACGTATCATTTCTATGCAGTCAATGTAAACTGTTAAAAGACCCTTATAGGACTAAAACCTTCTTTATAGAAACCAAAAGCTTAATAACTTTATATAACTAATGTATTTCATCTCCACCAAGCAGATTTCATTTACAGTTAAGGAAGTTTTGTGACTCCTAGGTAGCTGTGCTTCATTTTTAGCATAAATTAATAAAAATAAAATCCAGCACTATTTTTTAAAAGTAACATTATTGTTAAAACAATACACACTTAAGAAACATACAGAAAAGTAGAATAAAAAATTCACCCACACACCCATTATTTTATTCACTTATTTCTACCAGACATATTTCTTCCTAGTTTTTTTCAAAAAATATTTACTCTTACATCCTAAGCATTTTTCTACCGAAGCTGAAGGCTACAAGGAGGTCTTCTGTTTTATGAGGGAAGAATGGCCAATCCCATACCAGACTATGTCAATCATGGTGTTGGCAAATGAGGTCCACCTTGAAGATACCCAGTAAAACCTCTCACTTACCAAGAACTGTGTGGATGGCATCATAATCAAAACCCAATTCACTATAACTCCTTCCCCTCAACCTGGCCCCTTCCACATACTCCATTATTTCCCATCTTAGCTAGGGGAAGTAACACTGGAAAAATCTAGGTGCTAAAGACTATCGACTTGGGTTCAAACCTTGACTCTTGTCGATTACAAGCTGTGCGATCTCAGGTAAGAGATGTGACTCTGACTCTCAATGCCTCTGTCCTCATTTATAAAATGGGGGATATTAAAATCTATTTCAGTTATTATGAAGATTAAATAATCTGCTATGTCTAAGATGTCTGGTACAACACCTGAAGTGGAAGAAGAGATTTTTTATTGGTCAAAAGCAAAATTGAGGTAACAACAGTCATCAAAACTCCTCAGGCGTGGGTTTCTAACTTTTCCAGGCAGTACCTACTTTACCATTATGGTGACTAGCCAGCAAAGCTACTTTAGAAATAAAGGTTAGTCAGACTAGAAGAGCAACATCTATTTGTCTAACAGTTTATTTTAAGTGGAAGTAGAATAGTGCCTCTGTTTAGTTATGATTAAACCAAATGTGAAAAACTCAGTAATGTCTATAATACCTGTTACTCCCTCCTTCCTTGCATCTATTCCCCCACCTTGCATTTCCCCCCACCTACTGAAGCACTCCCGTTGGCATACAAACATGCCATTAATTCTCCCAACTTAAAAAAAAAAAGAAAAAGAGCAACAACTCTCTTGACCCCACTCCCCCTTCTAGCTATGAGTCCATTTCTTTCTTTACAGCAAAACTCCAGACGCCTATACATACTGCCTCCACTCTCTGCTCCATTCTCTTTTGGATGGACTCACTCAGGCCTTACCCACCAATGATGGCCACACTGCTAACTCAGCTAACTATCAGTTCTCATCTCAGTGACTACCCCCAACATACACTTCCTCAAAATGTTTTCTTCACCTGGCATCCAAATCACCATCTCCTGGTTCTCCTTACTTCTTCTGTAGGGAAGTGTCTTTTGCTTTCTCCTCACTCCCCAACCTCTAAACTTAGGTGGGGTCCAAGAGCTCCTTCCGCAGACCTCTTTTCTTTCTATATTCACTGGCCCGGGGAGCTCTCTGGTCTCGTGGCTTTAAATACTATCTATATACTGATAGTCTCAAATGTATACCTTGTACCTCTCCCCTGAATTCCAAACTTTGTGTCTAACAGGTTACTCATTCTCCACTTGGCTATCAGATACCTCAAACTTGCAAGTCCCAGATGGAGCTCCTGACATTATCTCCTGGGGCTCCTCTCACACTGATACCCACCCTTTTTTCAGTTGCTCAAACCAAAAAGCCTTGGAGATCCTTGACTTCACTTTTCCAACTCTCACATCCAATCCATAACAAATCCTTGTTGACTCTACCTTCAAAATGTATCCAGAACCTCTTTTCATCAATTCCATTGCTGCCTCCTATTCCAAACCACCATTAACTCTCACCTGCCTTGAACTGCCCAATCCACAGACCCTCTACCAGTAGGTTTAAAAAAAAAGCCAATCAGTCCAAATATACAGGCTTTTTTTTTTTAGTTTGGGGTATAAATTACACACACACACACACATACTTAAGGATTTTTTCTAATGTGTAAATACTTAATTCAATTTTAAAATGTTTTAATATTTTATAAGGATATTTATATATATGGATGTCAAACAGCATAGAAAATGTTCCAAATTAACTAATTTTACTGAACAGGTAGTTAATGCCAATTTATACAGAACAAACATATGCTATGCATTAGTCATTACTTAATTATATTAGATGTTTTGCCACTTTCAAATATTTAAATTATTTATATGAGTTAGTAGTAATGAGAAATTACCTAGTTATTGGTAAGCATTTCATCACATTCTATGTTGTCACTTCCCAAGACAGTGAACAAACTATCCAAATTTGAAAATAGAAGATTTAGCCATGAGAAGTAGAATGAACATTCCAGATACCAATTACAGGACTGTAGTTACTTACACTGTGAACTCCTAAAGCTTTCCAGACTGCAAAGCTGATCACACCAACCCCACACCATGCATAAAGTGAGCCCCAACCCAAGGCTCGCAAGGCAAGGGAAGACCCACTCTCTGGTAAGGCAGCTGTGGCCAAAATTCCCTGCAATAAAGACAAAAAGGTTCGGGTAAAAGTCATTTCAGAAAATAAATATTTGGCAAGTGTTTGAAATTAATGACTCTCTGTGTAAGTACATAATACTGGGAAACCAGACCAACCAAGCTCAAATATCAAGTTTGCTACTTAATAAACTACATGACTGAAGCTACAACTTCCCTGATGGACCCAGATACTGAGCCCACAATGCACTGTGCCAGGAGCTGTCCTAGGTACTGGAGAGACAAAGGGAAACAGCAACTTTGTCCTGATTCACTTGGGGAGGGCGGGGTAGGGAGGATAGGGGTACAAAGACACATAAAAGTTAATTATGATCTAAATGTAAAGTGTAACTATAGAACTATACATACATGGCATTACGGGCCCAGAGAAGGACACCTAATCTAATATGGAGGAAGAGGAAACTTTAAGGAGGGGTCCCTGGAAGAGGTGTACTAAATCCAAATTTGAGAAAAGATGTGTGATATGTCAGTGTGAGTACTTCTAAATATATGTGCAAAATGCCTGGGACACAGAAATTCAGCTTATGGAAGCTATTAATGACAATTAGAAAAAAACCAGTATTTATGACTCTTCTGTGTTTCAAGTCATAGTATTAAGGTAAAAATCTAAACTATAGTATGAACAACTCCCAGATTATCAGCACATGAATTTGACTAGAGAAGAATAAGAATGCAATGGATGCTTCAAAAAGGAATAAGCATCACTGAAAGCAATGAGGCAGGATGGTGGCAGGAGTAAGGTGGCCATTAAAAGACAAAGATTCTGGGAGGAACTGTGTGCTTGATTTCTAAGGTCTTCCCAATTTTATGCTTGGGTAATGTAAAATGTAAATTGACAGTGTGGGTTTTTTTAAAATTTAACTCTGAACTAATGCAGAGAGAGATTAAGTAACTGGCTCAAGGTTTCACAGCTTGTAGAAGCTGAGAACAGCGCAGTCTGGCTTTACACCAAGGGAATTTGCCATTCCAGCATTTACCATATCCAACCATAAATACAACACAATATGAAACATAAATGAAGTATCTTTTTAAACAGAAATTAAAATAAAAGCCATCATTACATGAGACAATACAAATATATACACTACTGGAAGCAGAGAGAGTGACAATACCTAAAGGCCTACTTGGATTTTAAATTACCAAATAACCAATTTGGGACATTCATTTAATTTCCACAGTTTGATCCTGCTATGAAATGTAATTTATCTTTTTTGTTTTGTTTTGAAGTATCTATAGAATTTAGGAAATATAAGAATTATTTTTCCCTGTCTGCTAAAATACACTACACATTGACAAAACAAAAATGCTCAGAAATTACAATAAAGAATTTAACTTTCTTAGAAGTTGAATCCTATTTTTTCTGATTATAAATCACTGTGGAAATTTTGTTATGTAAGAAAAAGCAGAAGGATGAATGAAAAAAATCTATGTTATTATCCAGCCAACCAGGGTAAACATTTTGCCATATTCTCCCTCTTACGTTGTTTGTGGACATTTTGAAAACATTTAACACCATTAAAAACTTTATAGTCATTATCTTATAAAGTCAAGAACTCAAAAATTTTTCATGGTTACACTGAACTAACATACCTTAGCTATTTATTATGTATACTAATTTCAATAATTTTTATACTAGAAATTTCTTTGTGCCTAAATGTTTTCCTGCATTTCTGAATGACTCTTCAGGAAAAATTCCTCAAAGTGGAATTTTATAAGTTGATACATACTGCAAAGTGTTTGTTCAAAAGGCTGTCCTAAGATACAGTGCGGTTTCACGAGGACCATTTCAAAAGTTTATGCCATGCCAAACATTTGTCTTTTGAATTGTATAGGTGTGTTATCTACCCAAATTTTTATTTGCATGCTCTCTTTATGTATTAGTGTTCTTTACCTCTTGTACCAATCATATGTGCTGTCATATTTCCTAAGTATGGGTTAATTCCTTTTATCTTGTTTTTGTTTGTTTTTGGTCAAAAATGCATTCTAACACTTATAAGCTAACTAAAACACCCCCCATCCAAAAGTCAGTCATTTCTCTTTTAGCTGCATTTTTGTTTTTAAATTGTCTGTTCTTTTTACCCCTAATTTCTTAGCTTATCTGGTATTTACAGTATTTTGATTCTGATGGAAGCTGATGACTAAAGGGAGATTACTTCAAAACTGCCTAACAACTGCCCCAGCACCACTCTATTAAATTCCTCACCTCCCAATTTATTTGAGAGACTTACATATAGAGGTTCCTGTCTAAGCTATTTTTGCACTATTATCTATTTTTTATGCCAGAACCACACTTAATTATAGTATCATAAAATCTTAATATCCAGAAAGTACATCATACTCATTACTTTTTCCAAAATTTTCTTTGCTGTTTTTGCCTATTAACTCTTCCAGAAAAACCTTAGAACATTCTGTCAAGATATCTCCAATCACCATTCATTGGCATTTTCATTAAATGACATCACACTAATATACTAATCTGGTAAGAGATAGCACATTTATAACATCCTGTCTTCCATCTGGAAATACATTTCCACCATTCAAGTCTTTTTTTTAGAATAATTTTCTTCATATTGCTTGATCCATTTGATAAAGCTTTTTAACTGCGTTTGTGATTGTGAATGCTACTGATCACACAGCAATGCTTTATCTGTATCCCTACACCTAGCACCATGCCTAGCCCTAGTAGATACTCAGTATTTGCTGAATTACATTTTAAAAAGATACACCTTAGACCTAATCAGATTTTCAAGAGATATTTCTTTAGCCATTTTCTATGATAAAGAAAATGTATCTTTTCATGTTGGTATAATTTCAGAATGGTTCCCTAGATACCACAGATCTCATGTAAATGCACTGACTTCCAATTGGCCTAAATTTGCATTCAGAAGCAGTACCATTAACCAAATATTACTAACCCATGCCCAATTTAAGTACTTTGGCCTAAATTTTATTTTAGAAACATAAAAATTCCTTATTTCCCTAGGAGGGGCAAAGATTATATATGTATTATATACGTACATTTATTTTTAAAAGCCAGCTGAGCCTGCACCTTCCTTTTTCTGTTTACTCAAAGAAGAACAAAGAAAAATAACTGTTCATTAGCATTTACTATTGCTTTTCAACTCCCAGTTTTCTACCACAAAACTCAAGTAAGACAATGTGAGTAAGACATAAAAGGAATGATGACCATTTTCTTGAAATAACAGCAGTGTAGGCAGTCCCCAACTAAAAGCTGATCATTTTAAAGTTCTGTTGGGTTGCAACCTGAATCTGTATTAAAATTAATACTCGGCTTTCCAGGATAGTGGACGGCAATCTATTTAAATAAAAATTTCCTAAAAATAGTATTTATATCCTAGAAGCAATGAAGATGGAGAGATGGCCATGGTGAATGAGTTGCTTAATCCATCTGTGCCTCAGTTCAGTGGGGAGAAAGTACAGTAAGAAAACTGTGATTGGGGTTAAGTGAGCCCTAACCCTTATAGCAGCAGCTAGTACATGATAAACACTCAAATGTTAGATATTATTACCATTATTAATGTTAGAGAAAACTGACAGGCAATGACTTTGAAGTACAATGCCTAAGTGTTATTCTTAAACTAGTGCTGGCTTGCTTGCTTAATGCGGATTCATGAACTGCTCTGCAACCTTTGGGCTCTTCTATAAACCACTTCACGTCTCAGAGTCTAGATCAGTGGTAAAGCCCTAACTCAAGTGTTTCTCCAAAGGGGAGGCAGAATTCTACACATTTAGAGTCCCAGAACAATGGTTCTCAAACTTTCTGGTCTCAGAATCCATTTATACTTGGATCCCAAAGATTTCTGATTATGTGGATTATATTTATCAATATTTAATGTATTAGAAATTTAAATTCTGAGTTGTACTTACTAACTCATTTTAAAATAATGAACTCATTAAAGATTAATATAAATCTATCTATTTTTATGAAAAATATCTTACAAAACAAAAATTGAGTGCAAAGAGGCAATGTTTTACAGTTTTATAAATCTTTTAAATGTCTGGCTTAATAAAAGACTGCTGGTTTTTCAGATATGCTTCTATATTCAATATGTTGCACTGTATTTTTTGGTGCAATATGAATAAAATCCAGCTTCATACAGATATATGGTTGGAAAAGAGAAAGAGTATTTTAATAGCCTTCCTTCTCTGATACTATATCAAAACTTAACAAAATAGCTTCTTAAAGGTTAGCTGCAATATGGAACCTGAAGTCATATCAATGAATTTTTTGTACTTGATATGTTAAAACCCACTAGTCTATTTTGCAGCTTGAATGGACCTTAACCACTGTGTCACCATTCAGAAAACTGATTTACCATGTTATAAAGATCTTTGAAATATTGACACCATTATTAAATGTTAAATAATCACATCATTAATATCACCACCAATCTCACTGGAAAACCTTTATGTACTAAGCAGCTGTCAAACTCACCTGGCAGATACAAGTTTTCTAAAAGCTAATTTTCACTTGAAAGCTCAAAATTTATCATTACCAACAAATACTGACAATTGTTTGCTTGAAGAGACAGCTCATTTTGTTCATTTTGAAGAAAATGTCTACCAAATACCCACTTTTGAATAACTAGTTTGTCAGTTGTTCTTTCAAGTAAAAATGATATTCCATGAAAAGCAGTGGCCAGTTCAGCATGCAACTCACACTTTTCCTGGAGAAAAGCATCTTACTTTTGTATAAAGCAGAAGTGCTTTATGCATACTTCCCACTTGTTCACACAGAACATTGAAGAGGTATAGTCAAGGGACAAGATTTAATAAAATTAATAATTTTACTGCCTGGATGAGGACATTCTTATGCAATGATGGCTTTTTTTTTTTTTAACTACAGGTGCATGGTAATGGAGGACAAAATGACGGTCAGTTCAGTTTGGTGCCACAGTCTTGACTACACCAAGGCATCAGCAAATTTACACCCCACTGCTTCTACACTACTGGCCCAAATGTCTTAGTATTAGTATGAAAATAGTTTTGACTTTACAGATCCCCCAAAGAGTATAAAAATCTCCAGAGGTCTGTGGTCCACAGTTTAAAAATCATCATGTAAGACCACAAAGGGCAAATGTGGTGCTCAAATCCCAGAACCATAAAATAGAATGCCAAGTTGTGAACATGTGTATGTGCTTTTTATTTCTGAATGGGAATCCTTAGGTTTCATCAGATTCTCAAAAAGATCTGTGACCCAAAAGTTAACATGGTAAAATGGGCTTAGAAATGAACCCAAATTCCACCGTTAAAGCAGCACTACCAGTCAAATTTTACCGATTTCTGCTAAAACATTTATTTCTGCTCTGAAAATACTCTCTAATAAAGGGGTAAAGTAACCATGAAGTTCATGCCAGTAGTTTAGGAACCTCCATATAAGCCCTTGAGTATTCACAGGGGGATCTAAATGCACTTTAAATGTGGTCTCTTTTCATTACAGTATATATAAGGCTTAAGTATGATTACTAGATTATTAAATGTAAGTAGGAAGGGAATTTGGTTTATGACTGTTCACATAACACTGTTCTTCCAAAATAAACATCAAATTCTAATTATACAGTTATTTGTATAGTATTTATTATCTGTCTCTAGCTTCTTGAGAGGCAGATATGTTTAATTTTTGTATCCCTTGTACCTAACTAGCACAGTGCCTGACATATAAAAGCTCCCAAGTTAACACTGGCTGAAGCAATGAAGCAATAAACCATATGGGGTGGGGAAGGCAGAGACAGGGTAATACATGAGAAAAGGTAATCTGCAACTAAAAAAAAATATATATTTCATCAACTTGGGAAATGAGGTACACATGACCACAGCAGAATGATTGCTCAGTCTTGCTCATGGAGTAAGGGTTTTCTGCCTTAAGTAGGTTACAATCATTCAACCAAAATTTACTGGGTAACTAATATGTGGTAGGCACTTTTCTAGGAAATGGGGCTACAGCAGTGCACAAGCATGTATGGATGGTCTCTGGGTTCAGGGAGCTGACCTGTTTTTCACTGGTCTAAGATGCACTTTATTTCAATATTTTAACCTCTTGCCTCTTGCAAATAGTGTTGTGTAAAGTTTCACTGGCATCATTTTTTTAGTGGTACATAAAATACTAGGGCCTCTTACAACTAACAGTAAATTACCTAGATTTAGCTTTAAAGTCATGTTGTGAATACAAAACGTACTGGATGAGCTTTCAAAGTCTTGTTCTACTAAAATTTGAGAAAGCAGATAACGAAATACTCCTTGTAAGTGAAAAATAAAGGCCACTAATTTGTACACTTCTTCAATCTATAAAGTGTATGTATATAGGTTTGCTTCTTAGAACAGTATGAAAGGCTATCAACATTTTCTTTACTTTCCCTATGCAAAGCAGCTGCCATTTATTTGTAAACAGTAACCATGCTATGAATGGATTTCGGTGTCACATACCTTACTGAACCATTCAGGGCTTTTCTTTTTAGCCAATGATAACGTCGTAACAAATCCAGCTAGCATTCCTGCTGCAGCAACGCTACCAAGGAAAATTCCACCTGCAAAGAATTTCAGGGAAAGGGAGTGGAGGGTGGGGAGGGTAAAAGGGAAGTTAAAAGATGTACATAAATAAGTTTCAGATACTATTTAAATTACATGTTAAATCATTTTTGGAATTCGAGAAACGATAGCTAAGCCGCTCTTGCCAAAGAAGGCGATGGCGGCTGTGACACCTGCGTAACCTCACGACCTCTGGTTCCCGAGGTCATTCTGAGGTGCAGTTCCCAAGGGCAGAGAATGGGTAGAGGGTTCCTGCTCTTTCCCAAGACAGCGGCGGGAAGTTTCTCCCGGGGAGTTAGAAGAGGGAGGCGGTGGAGGTGGGCGGCGGCCCCGACTCAGGGGAGACTCGGCCCGCACACCCACTGCCCCAAGCCCGGGCCGCAACCCCCCGGGCCAAGCTCTCGGGCACCCCAGGCGCAGGTGTCCCACGGCGGGGTGTGGGGCAACGCCCGCTCCAGCGCAGGCCAGGGCCCTGGCCAGCTCGCCGCGCCGCACCACACCTTTCACCAGGAAAAGCCGGTCTTCAGCGGAACCCGAGGCCTCCAGCTGAGAGGAGGGCTCCGCGCGCGCAGGGCCGGCTGCCTCCATGCTGGCACGCCTCCACCACCGCTTCCGGCGCCGACTGGGCCCGGGTGGAAGCGAGGGCGGGGCGGGGAGGAAGGTTCCGCTGCCACCGGCCCTTGTGCTACCTGAATACAGGTCCGGGGAAGGGCCGCAGCCCCAGCCCCTGCCTCCTCTCCCGCCTTTGGGCTGGTGGGAGGTGACGGCTGCACACGTGTCCCCAGCTCAGCCCCGGGGCTGCTGTCCCCCCAGGCTGTCCTCCAGCGAGGATTGCTCGCCTACTCCAAGGTGATGACAGCTACACTATAGTGTCTGTTTGAAACAATGCTCAGCCTCGACTCTAGGAGGCAGTGCGGGGTCGCACATTGCGCCAGCAGCCAGGTGCCAGACTGGTTCGAGACCCCGGACGCAGCGCGAGGTCCTGATCCTCCTTACACTATGTCCAGGGATTCGGCCGCGCTAACATTTCACGATTCTGAAAAGCAGGCTTCAGTCTTTCCTCTGTAGTTTACTGTTGAAACAGTCGTTACTTTAGGTGTAAGTGATAGGTTTTATACCTGGAAGAAAGTCCGCCTACCAGCTCTGCAGTGACGTGCCTCCTTCCTCACGGTTTGATTGATCAGCCAGTCGAGGGGAGTGGATGGCTATCAGGCTGAATATGAGTGCTATCAAGTGAATGATACGCCAGGGGGAAGGGTTGAGAACGCACTCTATGGGATTGCTAGCGCTGACCTACAAAGCTGCCCTAGAGCTGTTCCTGCTGGAAAGGCTGGCTCCAGCAGACAGGTCAGGCCTTCAGTCTGGGGTTCTGATTTGCAAAGGTGATGGATTCTGTAAATGGTCATTGAATGAAAGAGGTTGGTAGTCACAGAAAACCTTTTCAGCCTTTCAAACACAGCCAATGACAATCTCTTTGAAAATGAGGCAGTCTGTCATTTGTTCATTCTGAACACACACACAAAGCCATGAACTTCTTGAGGATGGGGATGGAAATCTTCATTTATGCTTATATCCCCCCCCCACTCTCAAGGTATTATGTGGTTGTGCATAATAAATACATCCTGGATGAAAGAGTAAATGAATGTATCAATTAAGTGCAATTAATAGCTCAAACCTAGGCTCAGTTCTAAACCACTTCTCAGCTATGAGAACTTGGTTGGGTTATTTAAGCTCTCTATGCCTCAGTTTCCTCATCTGTAAAATAAAGAAACTGCTAGTACCTACCTCTTTGCATTGCTGTGAAAATTAAATGAAGCAGTATAAATAAAGAAATTAGCACAGTGCCTGGCACAAATAAATACTCAGTCCCTGTTAGCTCTAGTTATTGGTTATTGTCCCCTTCAATTCCAGTAGCTGTTTTGCAGCATTGCCCATGGAGATTTAAAAAATTATAGATGCTCAGGCCTAGTGCTGAAGATTATGGCTGTGAAGGTCCAGGCAGGACAGTTTAAAAACTTGGGGGTTAGGTGGCTCCTGATGATCAGCCAGGTTGAGGACTACTCTTCAAATTTCTGTGTGCATGAAATCACACAGAGTTTCTCTAAATATTGGATTCCTTGGAAGTACAGTGCCAGAGTGTGAAAGGGCCCTTTAAACTGGTTAATCCTGTGCTAAATTGTTGAAGGACTTTAGGACTTACCTTTTTCCTTCCCCTGTTGTGTAATGGTGACCCTAGAAGCTAATGCTTAGTGAGTACTTTCTATAGGTCTGGCATTGCACTAAGTGCTTCAAATATATTATCTCATTTAATCTGCTCCATAAATTGAGAGAGACTAACTAATTTGCTCAATCCACACAGCTGTTAAGTAGCAGAGCCAGCATTTAAAATCACCTGTGCTTTTAAAAGTAGCAAAAGCAAAAATAAAATAAATGGGGCTATAATGTATTAAAAAGCTTCTGCAAAGCCAAAGAAAGCACCACCAAAATGAAAAACAACCTACTGAATGGGGGAAAATATCTGCAAATCATGTATCTGATAAAGAGACATATAAAAAATACATGAGGAACTCATACAACTCAATAGCAAAATAACAATCTGATTAAAAACTGGGCAGCAGATCTGAATAGACATTTTTCCAGAGAAGACATACAGATGGCCAACAGATAAATGAAAAGATCTTAACATCACTAATCATCACGGAAATACACATCAAAACAATGATATGTCACTTCACACCTGTTCAAAAGGATACCATCGAAAAAGATAAATGTTGCCAAGTGTTGTTGGCAAGGATGTGGAGAAAAGGGAACCCTTATGCACTACTGGTGGGAATGTAAATTAGTGCAGCCACTGTGGAAAGCAGTATGGAGGTTCAACAAGTTAAAAATAGAACTACCGTATGATCTAGCAACCTCACTTCTGGATATTTACTCAAAACAAAAACTAACTTGAAAAAATATATGCATACTCACATTCATTGCAGTATTATTTACTATAGCCAAGATACAGAAACAACCTAATTGTCCATCAATGGATGAATGGATAAAGAAATTGTGGTATATATATATTATATATTATTGCATTAACATATAATATATATATGTTATTCAGCCATAAAAAAGAATGAAAAAGACAAATACTGTAGGATTTGCCTTATATGTGGAATCTAAAGAAACAAAACACAAAAAATGTGCTTGTGGATATGGAGAACAGATTGGTGGTTGCTGGAGGTGGGGGAATGGGAGAAATAGGTGAAGGGGGTCAAAGGTAAAAAGAAAAAGAATAAAAGCATATCTGTTCAAGGTCTTATCTACTGGCCAGAAGTCCACAAGCTTGAACTTAATAACTGGAATCACCCGGAAGGGCCTTACCCCAGAGCTTTCTATTCAGCAGGGCTCAGGGTGGGGTTAGAACTTGCACACCTAACACACTTCTAGTGGTGTGGATGCTGCTGGTTCACTTGGAGAGCATCTTCTCTCTGCCTTCCCCTTATAGGTTAATCCTCCTAAACCCACACCAGCCAGTTTAATACTTGGAATTCTGTTCTCCCAAAACTGTTTAGAGAGGAAAAGTTGAGGCTCTTACTCTCTCCCTCTTTGCTGTCCTAAAAAAGTACAGAAACTCTTTAGTTTAAGGACAATATTACTAGTTATTGTGAGGAACTGAAGAGAGATAATACATCTAGATAACACATTAAATCTAGAGATGTTATGGTGTCTGGTACTCTGGGGCCTGTTTCCATTCTGAGAATAACTACAAACACCGCTGGACCCCTGTCTGCTTTTCTTTGAGAGGATGTGGCTCACAAACTCTACCTTCTTTCTATCTCCCCAAAGTAAAAGACAACTTCCCTTCTTCCTGCAAGTAAGCTCACTTTCCCAACATACAGAGGGCAAGAGACAATGAAAGCCATCCAGTGGGTGATCTTTGCTGTAGATGAGCAATGTGAATTTTGAAGTTGTTAGATTCACACTCTGGCAAGGAGGGGCTGAGGGCTTCCGGCGCCAGGCAAACTGTTATGGATGGGGGATTACAACTTTATTCCGCACTGGTCCCAGGTTCTTGCAACTTGCTCTGTCCCAGGTTCTGGAAAATGGTGATTCCAGGATCTGGGAAGCCTTCATGGAGCAAGGATGAGGAGTCGCCAGCCATAACATTAGAACCCCATTCCAGGCATCCCTAATTAGAACCCTTAAAGAAAACAAATTTTGAAGATATTGTTACTCAAGTTGTTATATTTCTACCATGCACACAGTCAGGCACTTCACAGACAATCTGATTAACTGGCCTTTTCTAGGAACCCTCAAATCCTATCTAGACCAGTTTTTATGTGAATCCATGATCCAAGCTCCAAACAGGTGCCTCGCAAACATTTGGAACACAGTCTGCAAGATAGGGACTCTGGTTCTACAACAGCAAAAGAGAACATCACCATGTGTGGAAACCAATGCTGAGAAAGTTGAGGAACTCTGGTGCTCCATGCAATGTCAGCAGTATTGTCATTTCAGTGGAAACATAATTCTCTTTTAGGAAAATGGAATAGAAATGTCTTGCAAGCAAAGAGGCTGCTAGGAAAGCACGTTCATCTGAGACAGACTCTGTTGCTATTTTGGTGTTTGTTTTAGTCAGCCAAAAGTCCATACCAGCAATGCATCTGACCACATTCTTATTTCAAACATTTCAGCCCTCGTAGATATCATTTCAAATTTTGACAGCTAGAAACCTGTTAGCATTACAGTTACCAGAGTTTGGGTAGCCGTAGCTCTGTCTAGTTCCAAATACTGAATGGCTTTTTTTCCATGTGTTTTTAAAACACTTCGTGGGGGATTTAATTTCTCCCTGTTTAAAGTTTGAAGCTGAATTCTTTTTAAAGTCTGGTAAGGATCACATATTGGTCATCCTTCTCACTGCTGCTTGATGTAAGATAGTTGTCAAAAATAGAGTGTAGGGATCTCTACAAGTTGTCTTATCAAATGTGTATACAGAAGAAAAGATCTGCTGGGCTTTACACTGAATAATTAACAGAGGTTACCTTGAGGGAAATGGGGAGATGAAACTTTCTAATTGTATTTCTACTTTCTGTCTTAACAAGTAAAATTCTGACCAAAGGAATATTTTTGTGTATTTCTTTCACATTTGAAAAAAAATTAAACAAGGAGATTGTATTACTTTTGTGTAAAAGAAGAAAAAAGAAGGAAAGAAATATATCATGGTGTTTAAATGGTGGATTTTTCTGTTTAAACAGAATATTGTGTAGGTTTTCAGAGTAACTTAGCCAACTTTCTATCAGGCTTTTCAGTGACAACACTTGGAAAAAGCAAACAAGGGTGAGAAGCATATTCATAAGGAGAGGCTCTGGACTGGCTAAGAAACCATGCAAATTTGTGTCCCCCAGTTACTGTTATCAGAGCCTCTTGACTTCTTCCCAATGTCTGCTCTGGATTCCCAGACTTATAACCACTTTGAAGTGCACTTCAATCAGTACAGAGCAATGTAAGTGGTAGGTATGGTAATAATTCCTCTTCAGCGAGTTGAACCTAGACTTCCAAAGCCTGAATCTCATTACTCAGTTCCAGCGTCTCATTACTTATGTCTTAGAACTATATTCTATAACCCTCCCAGGCTGAACAATGTAAGTCTGTCTTCATCACAGTCAATGAATGTTGCCACTATATGTTCCTTCCTTTCAATTTTTTCTTTATTGTAGAGAGTATCTTTCCCATCTCCC